TTTCTAAGGAAAGAGAGGGAGAGCTAGTAGCTGATAAGATAAGACTGATTTTGGCAGATGACCCAATCTTCTAAGAAAAATGAGGGTGGGTGGGCGGGGCTAGCACCTTCTAAGAAAAATCGATTTTGGCAGATGAGATACTTTCTAAGAAAAGAGAGGACGGGTGGGTGGGGATAGCATCTGCTAAGATAAAAGTGATTTTTGCTAGTGACATACTTTCTCAGAAAAGAGAGGGTGGGTGGGCGGGGCTAGTATCTGCTAAATTCAGTTTTATCGTAACAGCTACTAGTACCCCACCCACCCACCCTCTCTTTTCTTACAATGTATTTCATCTGCCAAAATCAGTCTTACCTTAGGAGGTGCTAGGCCCGCCCACCCATCCTTTCTCTATTTAGAGTCTATATCATTTGTTAAAATCAGTTTTAGCTTAGCAGCTATTAGCTAGGATAAAACTGATTTTGGCAAATGGCATACTTTCTAAGGAAAGAGAGGGAGAGCTAGTAGCTGATAAGATAAGACTGATTTTGGCAGATGACCCAATCTTCTAAGAAAAATGAGGGTGGGTGGGCGGGGCTAGCACCTTCTAAGAAAAATCGATTTTGGCAGATGAGATACTTTCTAAGAAAAGAGAGGGCGGGTGGGTGGGGATAGCATCTGCTAAGATAAAAGTGATTTTTGCTAGTGACATACTTTCTCAGAAAAGAGAGGGTGGGTGGGTGGGGCTAGTAGCCGATAAGATAAGACTGATTTTGGCAAATGAGATCTCTCTAAGAAAATAGAGGGCGGGTAGACGGAGCTAGTATCTGCTAAATTCAGTTTTATCTTAACAGCTACTAGTACCCCACCTACCGACCCTCTCTTTTCTTACAATGTATTTCATCTGCCAAAATCAGTCTTACCTTAGGAGGTGCTAGGCACGCCCACCCATCCTTTCTCTATTTAGAGTCTATATCATTTGCCAAAATCAGTTTTAGCTTAGCAGCTATTAGCTAGGATAAAACTGATTTTGGCAAATGACATACTTTCTAAGGAAAGAGAGGGAGAGCTAGTAGCTGATAAGATAAGACTGATTTTGGCAGATGACCCAATCTTCTAAGAAAAATGAGGGTGGGTGGGCGGGGCTAGCACCTGCTAAGAAAAATCGATTTTGGCAGATGAGATACTTTCTAAGAAAAGAGAGGGTGGGTGGGTGGGGATAGCAGCTGCTAAGATAAAAGTGATTTTTGCAAGTGACATACCTTCTAAGAAAAGAGAGGGTGGGTGTGTGGGGCTAGTAGCCGATAAGATAAGACTGATTTTGGCAAATGAGATACCTCTAAGAAAAAAGAGAGGGAGGTGGGCTAGTAGCTGCTAAGATCAAACTGGTGAAAAGTCGACACGGATTGATGAATCACACATGCAAGAGTATGAAATCCTATAAAATTAAATATCTAACACCAAAAAAAGGGACAAATTGGTAGTAATAAATAATAAAATGATATGTTTCACCCCACATTTTGTTTTTTAAATTATTATAAGGTGATTTATCATTTTTAACAGGCCAATTTTGACGTTGAAGTGTTTTTTTAATTTTTTTTTTAAATCTCAAAGTCAACCGTTTACGCCGGATCTCTGTAAAATGGTGGATTAATTCTTCACTACGCTCTTAACCTTCCATTTGAAAATATCTGGTGGGTTTTCGTAATAATTTCAAAAAACTTTAGAGGTTCCTCATAGTTTGATTTTGAAAGACTTTAAAAAACCTTGGAAGTCCCTGGTGTTTTATTTTTGAAAGAGACTGAGATAACATTACCCACCCACCCTTTATTTTCTTAGAGAATAGGTCCTTTTCCAAAATTTGTCTTATCTTGACAAGTACTAGCACCGCCCACCCGCCCTTTATTTTCCTAGAGAACAAGTCCTTTGCCAAAATCACTCTGATCATGAAAAATACTAGTCCCACCCACCCGCCCTTTATTTTCTTAGAAAATAGGTCCTTTTCCAAAATCAGAATCGTGAACGGATAATATTTGTATATTTTTTTATTATTCACTTCTCCTAATTCCATAGAAATTCCTAGTAACTAGTAAATAAACAACAGATATAGCAGATAACAGTAAACTCGGCATTTTATCCAGGTTTAACTTGTCAGTTTTTTTTACTTTTCTACCTGATTTGGTCACCCGGATCGTTTTCTCATCGTTCGTTGCGGATGTTGGTTCTGATCAATGGTATAGTGAATTTCGAATTGTTTCTTCTAGTCGTGCTAATGGCCAATTTAGTCGTTTCTCCTGGTCGTGTTCTATGAAGACAAGATCTCCAACTTTAACTGGCCGGGAAAATTTTCTTTTATATTGTGTCAAAATCAGTTGTCCAAGATATTCATTAAGTCCATCTTCAATTTATTCTTGTCCCGATGTCTTTTTTGAAGATGTATGGCTTCAGTGTTGTCTAAATCTACTACACCAATCTGTTGAATATCTTGAAGAAACATCTTTGGAGTTAAGGGAACCAAATCTAGGATGTCCTGTGAGACATATGTGAGTGGTCTTGAATTGAGCAAAGCTTCACAGTCACATAGGAGAATTTCAAGTTCTTGGAAACTTAGACATGCTCTTCCTAAAACTTTAAATAATGTTCGTTTTACGATGCGTATTAGTGTTTCCCACCAACCGGTTGGAGAATTGAACTTCCATTCGATTCTCTCCAGATTATTAAATTCTTTAAGTTCGTTCCAGTTCAAGGATTCTAATGCATTCTGGCATCCAGTGAAGTTACTTAGTTTGGTTATTCGTGTAAACCGTTGTAGGTCTTCCACGTCGTGCTATGGCTCGAAAACTAATCTACTTACAACTGGATGTTTACCTGGCAACAGTATGGGATATCGGAAATTTTCAGTATCGTCGCGTTCTGTAATTTTGGTCTTTACTCTGATGACGTCATTATGATGTCGAAAAGGTATGATGAAAGAAATCTCGAGAAATCCAAAGAATCAATTTTTAAACTTTCTTTCTGTACACACGTTAATAAATTTAGTTGTGCTTCTTGCAATTCTCCAAATCCTAACGTAGGATCTTTTTTTTACTGCTGACAAAATCTTCTGATCCAACCAAACAATCTGATTATTATCCGTTCACGATCTTTGTGTAAAATATGCCAGAAATATAAACATTAAATAGCGTAAAAGTTTTATGCTTACTATGAAATGGATACCGTTAACTTGGTCATTACTACTGAAAACTGAAAGTATCGGCAACAATGTTTATATTTCTGGCATATTTTTCAACCTTTAATTTAATAAAACATAACCTAACGAAAAAAGTTCAGGGAATTTTTATACTTCTGCATCGAATACCAACAGTCACTAGATTTTCATGGCCAACTCTACTATATAAAGATCGTGAACGGATAATAGCCGCTTATTCACCACGTCATTACGAATTTATGCAACCAGCCATACCATGAATCACCTTCGCGCTTCCGCGTACTCGTAGGAAATTCTTCATAGCGAAATGCGTCACTTAAGCCGCCCCTGTCCACCCCACCCTTTCCAGCGACAATGAAACCTCGCTTAATGAAGTCTATTTGTCACCATTCTTTAATTTGGGTTTGGTTAGGCGTGTTCATACGCGACTACTCGCTACACAACAGCAATACGCAGAAAGGTGCCTGTTTAAACAATGCTAATGGAAATGTAATTCGACCATATATTTACACATGCTTAAGTCAGCCCCTGGATGTTTACCTTCAGGCATGTGTATGCACTCATCGACGGTTCATTTTACCAACCTGGCGGAGACAAAAATGAATTCGTTAATTTGTGGATGTATGCGTGCGAAGGGCATATGCCGTCATCAAAAGTCTGCCCGTAATGACTCACAGAATGAGTAAGTTGGCAATTTATGGTTTTGGGGCTGGGAGATAGTCACGGTCATTAACTTCCGCAAAATGCACGCTTCGCTGCTTTCACACTATGGGCTTGTATCTAAGGGACACGTGTTATTTCGGCTGTAATTGTTTACACCTAGCTGGAAACGAATTGTTTTATTTTGGATTTGGCGAATCCGTGGTGCGGATTTTACAAAACACGTAGGGAGGCGAAACTAACAATAGGTTGTCGAAAAACTACAAAATATGTTTTTTGTCAACCAAACATGAAATAAGAGACCATGGCAAATAAAGGATCTAAATGAACACCCTGTATAGTGCTTGTAATTTAAGACAAATGGCCATTACTAGAGAGCGGATTTATAAGCACAAAAAAATTAAGAATAAGCGCTTAAATAAGCACAACATTTTCAATAAAAAAGTTTTATTTTAAGCAAAAAAACATTAAATAAGCATAACACTTTCATTAAAAAGTTTTATTATAAGCAAAAAAGCATTAAAAACATAATCATATTACAAATCAAAGAACACTTCTTAGAACTTTGGATAAAATATTATTACAATAATCCTAGACTTTACATTTTGCACACGTATTTCAGTTTTCTTTAAAACAATTTATGATTGTAATATGTTTACAATCATAAATTGTTCTCCTGTGCACTCCTTTACAACATGCTGGAAAGCATGTTGTAAAGGAGTGCACTGCCGTGAATCTGTGTTGTACTAATTGTTCAAACTTAAAATCCAATGAGAAATTTGAAAACATCGCTATTGATCATGCTGCATGGGAACGTCAAAATTGTCAGGCATATCAACTGACGATCAATAAACTCAAATTCGACGTTTTCGGTATCTCTATATAGCAGTTAAAAGTTTTGTCCATCGATTCTAGTTCTGTCTCTGATCATTCTGCCTTCACTCTATCTCAGTCTTCTAATAAATCTCAAATTTCTGTCTATTATCAAAATACTCGTGGAATCAACTCAAAGTTATCCGATCTTCATAATTCTATTCTCTGTTGTAATTACGATTTTATATGTCTCTCAGAAACATGGCTTAATAGTTCAGTTACGGATTCTGAATTCTGTCCCCAGAATTTCCATATTGTCAGATCAGATCGTGATTTTCACAAAATGAATGTTAGTAAAGGGGGAGGGGTATTACTAGCCGCGCAGCATCGATTCACTGTTTTTAAAATTGATTTGTCATGTAGAGGATTTGATTCGTTACAGTGTACAGATATAGTCTGTGCTAAATGTCCATTAGGTCATTTCACTATTTATATATTTGTTGTTTATATTCAACCTATTGCAACTGTTGATGAATATGAATTGCTATTTAATTTACTTGGTAATTTTACCAACTTATATAATCAACAGGTTATTATCATCGGTGATTTTAATATTTCAGATTACCAACCTACCTTGTCATCTTCTTCTCTAAGTAGCAGAAAATTATCTTATCTTTTCAACTTCCTTGATTTTTGTGACTGTCAACAGTTTAACAATGTGAGAAATGCTAATGATCGTTTCCTAGATCTGGTTATCTCCAATCGTCACTGCTCTGTTCTGAGATCGATAGATATCTTACTGGATGAGGACATTCACCATCCATCTCTTCTCATCACTGTGGTTTCTCGGGAATCTCAACCAAAAGTGATCAATAGGAACAGTTTGGAAGATAAACTTTGGAATTTTAGGAGGGCTGATTATCCTGGCTTATACAGTTATATATCTCGTATTGATTGGTCATGTATTCTTGATATTACAGATGTTAATCTAGCTTGTACTCATTTGTATACTCAGTTGAAGATTGGTTTTGACTTGTACGTTCCTAAAACGGGTCTCGTCCGTAAGTCTGTTTTTCCCCCATGGTTTTCACCTTCTATCATTTGCAAACTTAAGTGTAAATGGCGCCTACTACGAAAATTAAGGTCCTCTAATTACATTAATAACTCTGAGATGATCAATGACTTCAGAAGACTACGATCTGAATTGAAATGTGACATTAAGCGGGCACAGCGCCAATATTTGCTTGATATGGAATCTAATATTAAATCCGATCCAAAAAAATTTTGGGCATATGTTAACAGTTTGAGGAAGTGTACTGGTATCCCTGCGCAAATGACTTATTCAGGTGAATTGCTTAATAGTCCAGAACAGATTATCAATGCGTTTAGTGCGTATTTTACCAGCAATTACAGTGATTGTGCTGTCACCAACATTGATGATTATTTTGATACTACACCTAATGTGTCTATTAGTCTGTCAAATATATCTGAGTCTGAAGTGCTAGGTGCTCTAAAGAAGTTGAAATCCAATCTTACTGCTGGTCATGATGGGATTCCTGCGTTCTTGTTATCAGACTGTGCTTCAGCTTTGTGTTATCCTTTGACCATAATATTTAATCTAATTTTAAAAACAAAAACTTTCCCTGACATCTGGAAATTATCTACTATAACACCTGTTTTCAAGAACGGTGCTAGAAATGATGTGGTTAACTATAGACCAATATCGTTAATATGTAATTTCAGCAAGATCTTTGAGATGGTATTACATAAATTTTTATTATTTAATGTTAGCAGTAGTATTACTGATTCCCAGCATGGTTTTATCAGTGGTCGATCTACTACTTCAAACTTATGTTCATTTACTCAGTTTGTTTCGGATAGCTTTGATGCCAAGTTTCAGGTTGATGCGGTATATACCGACTTTACTAAAGCATTCGACAAACTAAACCACCACATCTCACTTGCTAAATTGCATAATTTTGGCTTCTCCGATTCCTTGTTGTCTTTAATATCGTCGTATCTATCTAATCGATCCCAATGTGTTAAGTATTATGGTCATGTTTCTAATAAGATTTTAGTTTCATCGGGTGTACCACAAGGTACAGTTCTTGGACCTCTCTTTTTCACTATTTATATCAACGACATTGTGAAAAAAATTAATTCTAGCACACTTATATACGCAGATGACTTAAAAATTTTCAGAAGGATTTCTTCTTTGGATGACTGTCGTTTATTACAGAATGATCTGGACCATTTTTGTAAGTGGAGTAATACTAATCTACTTTCTGTGAATTTAAGGAAATGTTTTGTAATGTCATTTACCAATAAAAATTCAGAAATACTGTACAGCTATACCATTGATGACACTATTTTATCCAGGGTTAATTCATTCCGGGACTTGGGAGTCACCTTTGATTCAAGATTAACCTTTGTTAATCATATTAACAACATTTGTGCACGTGCATATAAATCTCTAGGTTTTATTTTGAGATGCGGCGGTAGCTTCCATGATGTTACTTGCTTGCGCATTCTATATTTTTGTTATGTGCGCTCCGTGCTTGAGTATGCGAGCGTAGTTTGGACTCCGTTCTCTCAAATACATATTAACTCTTTGGAAAAGATTCAGCGGCGATTCCTGAAATTCTTGGTTTTTAAAATTGATGGCGTGTATCCCGCAAGGGGCTCTTCCCATTCCACACTGTTGGCACGTTTTGGTTTTGACGACTTACAGACAAGATGCATTAGGGCTTCTTTGAATTTTCTCCATAAACTAATACACTTTCAAATTGATTGTCCCCATCTCCTTAGTAAATTGTCATTTTCTGTTCCGAGACCTTCGTCCCGGTACCATTACTCATTTTACTTACCAACTCCCCGTATTGACATTGCAAAGCACTCTCCAATATTTGAAATGTGTACCTTGTACAATCAATATCAAAATACTTTCGATGTTTTCATGTGATACACTGATAACTACTTTCTCTGGCGTTTCTTCCAACGGTCTAATTGTACTATTGTCATAATTTAACCTTTCTGGGTCAGGCGGTAATTTATAGCTGTGTGATGAATTTGACAGTAGTTTTTATACATCTATACCTTCTGTATGTATTTGTTGGTCTGTAATTGGGACTAGTGCCTGTTGACCAACTTACTCTAATAATAATAATAATAATAATAATAATAATGTTCCAAGTTGTCCACTGTAAAATTTTTTTGCCGATCAAATGTGTTTAAAAATGGAGAATGTGCGTTAAAAATTTGAATTTTGCAACTAATGTTGAATCTAATTCCAAATTTTCCACCTTCTGACCTTGTAAAACACGAGCAACGTCGGAAAGAACACCGAAACCTGCATTTTTATTTAACACTTCGTCAAGTTTTTGTGATACTCTAGTACCAATATCACCCCTTACTGCGTTTGCTTGTTGTTTAAATTTTTTCACTAAGTTTATGGCATCTACCAACAACATGTTGAGTTTTTCTAACTTTTCTGTTACCTCACATACGAATTGATAATTGCTTCTTAGAACAGCTAGATCTTGTCGCAAATCTTTGTTTTCCAAAATATTTATGCAATCTTTAATCGATTGAGAAGAATCTTCGCTAAACTCCGTAACTACTTCCTCAAATTCTTTGATATATTTGTCATAATAAAATGTGGCCTGTAACCATGTTCCACACCTCGTTATATTCGGCTCTGGGGGCAATGTCTGTTTGGAAATTTTTCCTTAAAATGTTGCACTCTTAGTGGGGCTTTAACAAAAATCTTTTTACCATTTGCCACTAATTTATTAACAGTAGGAAACTGCAAACGTATTCCTTCAGCCACTCTGTTTAAACCGTGGACAATGCAAGTAGAGTGAATTAAATTGGGGTACAATATTTTTAGATTATTCTCTGCTTTCAACATATAACGAGCTGCATCCGAGATCATCAATGAAATTATATTCGCCGGTACAGCATTTGGCAAAAATAGTGACGTAAGACTGTCATTTACAAATCTGGTAATCGTATTGCCATTTGTTTTATCTAACATTTTCAAACTTACTACATACCCTCGACTAGGGAAATTTTCATTTAAGATTCCAACAATGAAACTTGCCACGTATCTTCCACAACTATCGGTTGTTTCATCGACAGCGAACCATAAATAATTATCTCCAATGCGATGTTTAATTTCGTTGTAAACTTGCTGAAACACTGGGCCTACATAATTTTTTCGGAGAGTACTTTCAACCGGAAGATGTCGATTGCAGTGTTTTTCAAGGAATTCTTAAATTCCAATTTTTTTAAAGATATATTGGACTGGATCATCGTTTTACATAAATCGAAATTAAACTGAAACTGCTCATCTTTTGTGGAAGTAGATGCAACAGATTCATGTATGGTCTGCTGTTTAATTTTAGAAACTTCTAACATTTTCATCCTTTCTACATGAAGAGTCGTTCTGACATGTTGCGTCACGTTATATTTTTTATCACTTTGAATCTAAAGCAACGTACATATACAGAATTAACAAAGGAAAATAGAAAAAAAAAATAGTGGGCTTACGGTTTTCACACAAGCTCTGCAGAATATTTTGTTGGTTTATAATTTTAATTCTGAAAAATCCCTTATCCACTCATCCGGCGTCGATTTTACTTTCGGCATTCTTTTAAAATATTAGTAAATTACCAAAAAGAACTCAACATGTAACAAGGGAGAACCACGTATAACACTGTACTACGACACATGCGATGCACTGATGGTTGTGAAATAAACGGTTCATTTACTTAAAAGTTTCCATTAGAAAAATTTTAAGGTAGGCAGTTGGGTACAATAATCCTTTTTTCTAGAAAATCTTCAATGGTCTTGCCGCAAAATTACGAAAAAGAACATCTGGTTAAAAGCTTTAATTCATTAGCAACGGAAGTAAGGATTTAAAGTCATAAAATCTATGGAGTATTTTTCCAATCCTATAATAAAATTTTATTACCCAAACGATCGGAACCTATTCACAGAAAGGGTCTTGAGTAAGTGTACTTCAATGGTCAAGTACAGGTAAAATGCATACGCTACGATACGCCTAACTAACAAGTATTTGTCATCCCGACAAGGCCGGTATTTGAACAAAATATGAATTATATAAGTTTTAATATGCATAAAATTGAAAAAAAGCAAATAAGCATAAAAAAAAATGTGTCAAATGACTCCAAATTGTATCAAAGTTACAGATATAAAAAAGTTTTCAAGTGCTTACATTTTTCACAAAAAGCATTAAACCTAGAAATCCGCTCTCTAACCATTACACTTATCAACCTGTAGACATGACGGTGAAACACAAACTAAACTAAAACATGTTTTCTACGAATTGCAATAAGCGAATGACAATGCCGACGGTCTAGACTTGTTTATTGCTTTGACTTCCGTTTATTGAACAAAACACTACATTTTATTTGGTTTTTGGATGCTGTAATTAACATTTGATTAATTATAACTTGTCTAGACCTAGGGGAGCATCCCTAACCTCCCCTTAGCTACGACCTTATGAAACATCGAGAAAATTTGAAAGTACCAAATTGAGCAATGGACTCTATTACTGTACCTCCTTAGGTTATCCTCGATAAGAAAAACAACTTGAAAGTGTTTCTACATCGGAAGAATATCACGTAGAAATTAGTTTGATTTGAATGAGTTCGCCCTCTTAAAACACAAGATCAAAACAATAAACTAGTAATCGACAAAATATTCTGAATATCATTATTATAATTTCTATTAAATAAAGACGTTTGAATTTTCACAATGTTTTCGTTCTTAATTTGTTCAATAAAAAATATGAATGCTATGATGAATCACAAGTAAAAACTCATCATATTTTGCACATTTTAGGTAAAATTTATTCGGCAAAATTTTGAGATTTATTATTATTTATTATTTAGACAGATTTATTTTGATTAACAATTTACCATGCTTACAATGACTTCAAAACGTCTGCAATATTTCAAAATACATATTCAGTTTTGCAATTCTTGATTTAATCAATAAAATAAATTGACTCAGTCATTGCTTTACTGTATATGCAAATCCAAAAAATATGAATGGAATGATAAATCAAAATTTTGAGATGGCATCATCAGTTTTTTAGGGGGGATGAGCAAATACATTTTGATCAAAAATTTACCAAGCTTATGATAAATTATAATATCTCCAAGATTTCAAAGCATTCAATTGAATCAATAAAATAAATTCACGCATTCATTAATTTTTTTGAGTCACCTTGTATATGCAAATCCCAAAAATATGAATGGAATGATAAATCACAACTACAGACTCATAATGATTTTGCACATTTAGAAGACGAAGAATTTTCAAAAATCTCGGGGGTCCCTGGTATTTTTTTTTGATATAGTTTTAAATAATATTTTTTCAAAAATTTGAAAGAATCTCTAGGACCCCTGGCGGTTCTACTTTTAGAAGAATTTGAAAAAATCACAGGGCTCCTAGTCTTCTATTCACAGGAGAATTAAAAAAAAATTGGTGGGTCCTGGTGCTTCTATTTTTAGGAGAATTTCAAAGAATCTTGGGGGTGCTGGTGGTACTGTTGTCAGAAGAAGAATTTTCAAGGATCCTGGGGGTCCCTGATGTTTTATTTTTGACATAGTTTTAAGAACCTGGGGAACAGTTGGTGTTCTATTTTTCAAAAAATTTGAAAAGATCTCCTGGACCCTTAGTGGCTCTATTTTAAGAAGAATTGAAAGAATCTTGGGCGCTCCTGGTGGTACTATTTTTAGAAAAAAAATGGTCTAAAGAGTTTAGACAGTACTTCCCTCGCTGTCGGAAACGTGACGACTGCATGCCTATTATGTTTTTTTTCGCAGTAGATTTCAAAGCATTCGGTTTTATAGTTCCTGATTAAATCAATAAAATATATTCACGCATGCATTAATTTTTTTGAGTCACCCTTGTATGCAGACCCAATATATTTTGTACATTTTAAATAGGATTAATTCAGCAAAATTTTGGGGGTGAAGTCATCAATTTTTTAGAAGGAATGAGCAAACACATTTTGATCAAAAATTTACTATGCTTATGATAACTTTAAAGCAGCATTTTGCAGTTTCTGATTTAATCAAGAAAATACATTCACGCATTCATTAATTTTTTTGAGTCACCCTATATATGCAAATCCAAAAAATATGAGTGGTAAGATAAATCACAAGTACAGACTCATTATATTTTGTATATTTTAGATAGGATTTATTCGGCAAACTTTTGAGCTGACGTCATCAATTTTTTGGAGGGGACATTGTGATTAAAATTTTATCATGTTTATCGTAACTTCCAACCATCTGCAAGATTTCAAAGCATTCGGTTTTGTAGATTCCAAATTTAATGTCAAAATGTTGTTTCCTAATTTTGATTTTTTTTTCCAAAAATCTGGACATTT